GATTCCGATGTCCCTTGGTGGGTTGGAACGATGGACTGAAACTAGCAAGATTATAAGGGCAACGGAGTTTTCCACTCAAAGCAAAATATTCATTGCGTAAGTGTAAACTAGAGGAAGACGATGAGTCAAGAAACCTTCTCAGGTCTTTTTTCTTGTGGACTGACTGGGCTTTTGTTTGGTTGGGTTTTTTGTTTGTTTGTTTTCCCTCGTCGTTTCATTATATGACCCTAAACCACGCAGAGACGTGTACCTGCACATACCGCCAATATAAGCTGCAGTAATGTAAAAAAGAGCAAGGTCTAAATCAAAGAAGTAATCATTTCATTCTTTTGTGGACCACATCTTAAGAGTTTTCAGTTCTGAGTGCCATTCTTTGAGGACTGTGACAAGCTAGAAGGCTCCGAGAGGGCCCCTCGCACGGTATTTGGTGCTCAGTTAATAAATACTGGTTGAACGGATGGTTAGGGATGGTGCCTCAGGTCCTGTGAAGGACAGTTCATGAGACTAGGAAAGAGGAAACTTTGAGATAGCTCTCTTCAAACATTTGCAGAGCTCTGAAGTAGAAGAAAGACTAGATTTCTTTCATGTTTTCCCAGAAGACAGACCAACACACCAATGGGTGGACTGGGTCCATTTAAAAAAGAATTTCCCGGGGCTGTTCTCCAGTGGCACTGCAAAGTTAGTCCTGTAAAGTTCCTCGGACAGAGACTGTCTACAGCAGCCCATTCGATGACAGAGGCCAGGGCCAGTGTGAGGGGTGTTGAAGGAGGGATTCCTGCATTTGGGGTACAGCCAACTTAGTGACCTTCTGGTCTCTTCCAGAGCTGAGCTTCTCCTTCCAGTGGGTCCAGATCAATGGTGCCTTGTCTTTTCAGCTTTGCAGAATCAACGCTGCAAGGGAAACTATTACACTTACTTTTAAAAATGTTTAATGGAAACTTCTGAGGATACCGCCTGGAGTTAGGGAAAGCCCTTTAATTTATTTAGCCCTTTTTAAGCCTTGCATTATTTTTTTTTCTCATCTCATCCTTGTGTCAGTTGGCCTCATAAATATTCATAAAGGAATTGACCCCAAATGAGAGTCTAAATATCTTTCCTAAGCCTTTCAGTTTTGCTTTCTTGTAACAAGTAATTATTTGAATATGATCTCTGGTCAGTTATATTATTGTCAACTAGTGAGTAATCTATTCGGGGAGGTTTTTTTTTGGGGGGGGTGTTGTTTTTTGGCCACACCGTGAGGTTCACAGGATCTTCGTTTCCCAACCAGGGATTAAACCCGGGCCCCGGCAGTGAAAGCGCTGAGTCCTAACCACTGGACTGCCAGGGAATTCCCTGTTTTGGGAGTTTTTTAAAAAACTTAATCAGGATTTCGGAAACCATAGGATCTGATGTGAAGGAATAGACTTTATCTATTCATCTTAAGCCCTAAGTACGTCTATGTCTTAGAGCTCTCAAGCTTCCGACCTCTCTTATTCTCTCACCTCCCCCAGCGGAGAGGAGTGGAAGCCAAGGACACTTGGGAAGCGTACAGATTCAAGCCCACAGCCTAGACATGGACTGTGGATGTAATATGAACAGCAGAAACTGAGGTGGTCCCTTAAGCTGCAGGACAGGTTGAGGGAGGCCTGCAGTCTGTGGGAGAGGACCCCGTCGGACTCCTTGGCCACAGGTAAAATGACCTGGGAAGCAGTGGCTTCTGCGGCTTCCCTGTGTTCTTCCCTGTAGGCTGTGTTGGGGAACAGCTGCTGGTTTTGTCCCCTCATGGTCACCTTTTGCTCTTTTGCCTCACACAGAAAATTCCCCTTCCTTTTCTGCCAAAAGTTCCCCATCATTGCCTGCTTTTTACCCACTGAGAGGTGGGCAATAATGGTCTCATTTGAGACTCTTCAACTAGAAGGAGAAACCTGCAGAGCTAAACCCTGACATCACATTTCTTTGGTGTGTTTTCTGGGACAGTCTGAGTTTAGCTTAAGGGCCGCTAACACGGGATACGGTCTTGGGAGAGTAATGTAACCTCGGTCTCCTTATCTGTCAGATAGGACACTGCAGGGTCTTTGAGAGATTTTAGACATGGTACGCAAATAACCAGCCCAGTGTCTGGGCTTGTACAAGGTGTTCAGTAAGTTATAGCTGCAGTCACTATTATTAGCTATCATTGATTTACACCGTCTTTAATCACGTTACCAGTTTTAACTCTTGAGTATTTTACTCTTTGTTATTTAAGACTTTAACCGTGGCGGGAAGTCCACTCACCGTCCCGTGATGAGCTGTGCTTCAGACTCTGAAAGCCTGCGGAGGGGAGGGTGCTCTGCTTTCTCTCTTTATTTGTAGTTATTCACCCGGGTCATCTGTTGGGGAGGGGAGGGGAGGGGGCTCGTATTTGATTGAAAACCAACAATGGCAGGAACGGAATAAACCTTTCTTTTCCAGAGCTGTCTTTTCTATTTTCAACTTTTGTGTTGTTCTCGAAGATGAAGAAACAGGGGCTAAAATGTAATGTTAGCCCTTGTGACGGTCTTGTTCCTGTGGGTGACAACTCCAAGATGAGTGTCTGCCTTTCAGAGCTGTGGTGGCACAGACTTCACTCTCCTGAAGTTCTCTGCCCCGAGAGAACTCGATTACCTGGGCTTATGGTAGAGTCAGAGGACAGTGTCTTGCCGCCTTTTCAAGCTTGGCAAGAGTGTTCGTAGCCTGTCTCCACTGAGCTCTAAGAATTTCCAGTCCTCGATTCTAGACCTGCCACCTTCTGCCTCACGAGTGATTCCAGACTCTGTGCCTGGATCTCCAGGCCCCAGCCCCTCCCTGGGGACCGTCCCCACTGCATATCCTCCTCTCTGTCTGAACCTGTCTTCTTACTCTCCACACTTCCTCCCTTCGCTCCCCAAGCCCTGCTTGTGCCCACTGCACAGCCTTTCTCAAGCCATTACCCCCTTTCCCTTGAGCCATGTAGTCTGTCATCTTTAGGGTCAAGGGGACAGGGGGCTTATTGCTCAACTGATTTTGAATGTTAGCTAATGATTTTGGTCTCTAGTGGTGGCTCGCAACCGTGGCCGCACACTGGAATCACTTGGGAAGGTTTTTAAAAATTCCTGGTACCTGGGTCCCATCCCCAGAAGTTCAGATTTAATTGCTCTGGGATGTGACCTGAGCATCAGGATTTTTCAAGCCTCCCCAGGTGATTCCATATGCAGCCAAGATGGAGAACCACTGGTCTACAAACTCGTTCAATCCCCAAGCTGAGTGTATTCTAATAATAGCTCTGTTTGGTCCCCAAGTGACTTGGATACCACAGTGTCTTAAATAGTTCATGGGAGTATAGAAACATCAAAGTAGCTATTTCCACCTTGTGTTAGTTTGGTAGATTTGGGGGAAGGAAATAGTACGGTTCCTTTGTCGAAAATTCAATCCATGGCATGCCGCTGGGCCCACTTGACGGCAGCAGCGGCAGCAACTAGCTTTTATCAAGCTCTCAGCATGTGCCAGGCACTGGGCTAAATGCTTCCTAAGCTCGCCACATTCATCAGCCCATTTTTATCCTCACAGCAAGCCCAGGAGTTTTTGGCCTCTCTACTTAACGAGGAGCCTGAGGTCCAGAGAGGCTTCTCCGCTCTCCCAGGGCTATACAGAAAGCAGTGCTAAACTCAAACGCAGACACGTCCAGTGCCAAAACTTCACTGTTCCTCTACCCTCTGGGAAGGAACTTAACCAAATAACTTCCTGGAAAATAAGGATGTGCCTGCTTTAGTTTTGGGGTTGAGCCCTTTTTCAATCGGGTTGCATTCTTTTGTATGTCAAGCTCCTTCATAAATTGATGTCGGGTTCACTCCCAAGCAGCCTAGCTATATCCAGGACCAGGGGGCACGTCACAAATTAATTGTTTTCATGCACTCAGGAGATATTAGTTGAGAAAAGCATCTTGCTTCTAGCCTCTAACCTAGCAGAACCTACCCCATCTGTTACTTAATCTTCCTACCACTTTTCTGAGGAATTGAATAGGCAATGTTCTGCCCATTGTGCAGAAGGGGGGACTGGCGTGCCACGTATTAGCTTTCTACTAAATACTAGCGATAGCTACCACTTCTTGAGTACTTACTAAGTGCCGGGCTCTGTGCTAAGCTCTTCACATCCTGTGTGGTTATCCTCATTTACAGATGAGGAAACGCAGACCCAAAAAGGTGGAGCTCCTTGCCCAGGGTTATACAGCTGGTAACTGGGTACCACGTTTGCTTGTTGGTTTTTTAACTTCCTTGTGAGCAAAATCGCAAGACGTGGCCTTCGTTTGCTCTCTCACCATAGCCTGGCCAGCCTCTGCCGTGTGTGTCGTGGCATCTGGACAGCCGTGTCTGGAATAAACCACTGAAGCGTAAAGTGGATTTTCTTTCTGTGTGTCGAATGGCCATTTAATAGCTCTCGTGAAACAGAGGATTTTCTGCCAACCTTGAATATCAGGCTGAGGTCAAACAGGCTCTAAATATTCCTTCTCCAGCCATTCCAGTACGAGGCTGCTTTGGCATAAACAACCCCCGAAGGTGAGAACTGGCTCTTGGAGCAGCCCCCCCCCCCGCCCCCCCATCCACCGCTGAGTGCTGCTGCTTCTCACAGCTCCAGATTAATGACCAGAATCCTGCCACCGCTGCTGGAGAGCTTCGTTATTGCACGGACACTAAATGCTTAAGACGGGAACCTATCACCCCTGCTCGCTAATTGTGAATATGCCAGCTCATTTTCTCTCTCTTCAAGCCTGTAAAGACTTGGTATTTTCTGGTTTGTTAAAATATGTACACACACACACACACACACACACACACACACATGCACACGCACACGCACACACACACACACGCCTGTAGGGAGAATGACTGTTTATACAGAAAGAGATCAGCAGTGTGGTGACCGGATGGAATCTCAGGGAAAATAACGTACCTGGCGGCCTGTGTCAGGGCAGCAGGCCACTAACTGAGTGCAAAGCTTTTTTTTTAATGTTGTTTATCCCCCTACAGGGCATACAAAACCATTGAGGATGATGACTTGAAGTTTCCCCTTATATATGGAGAAGGCAAGAAGGTAGGCACGTGCCCTCCCCGGACTGAGAGAACAAGGCTCTGTCTCCACGGAGCCCGTGGTGATCTGTGTGTTCCACTCAGCAGCTCATGATTTTATAGCCTTGACAGCTTGAAAGGGTATCACCTCCATCATCTTTCAGGCCTCCTGTCTTGAGGGTCCAAGGAGTGGCAGGGTTGGGGGACGGGGGTGGTGAGCATGAGGGACTAAAGTTAATTTTGTGAAAATGCCATCCCCCTTCTCAATCCATTTGAATAACTTTTCACAGTGTTTAAACACGACCACTTTCACATACATCATCTCCTTGTGTATCTGACAGCAAGCCACGAGGCAGGCAGAGCTGGCTGCCTTATATCCATTTGGTAGATGAGGCAGCCGGGACTCCGAGGTAAAAACTGCTCAGGAAGTCACGCAGCTGGCGAGGGGTGGTACCAGATGTGGAGCCGTGGCCTTCCACTTCCTTCTAGTGCCCTCACATCCCACCACGGAAGCTCAGGCTTTGCAAGGTGGCTTCTCCACTTGCCCCATGGAAAGGGGATCCAAAGTTTCACCCTGATTAAACTATAGGATCCCATGGACCAGATGCCAGGCGGAGATAGCAAAGGCCATCCATCACCAGCTCCCAGGGCCTCAGTCAGAATCAAACATTGTTGAGCTTAAGGAAGGCTGTTGATCTTGAAGTGGACTCTGAGCAGAGACTCGAGAGGGTCGCGGTCCTGGAGCAGAGATGAGGAAGCTTTGAAGCCATTTCCCAGGAAGAACAAACACCTTCTGAATCATTGCATTCTTCCTCCAAACACGAATACATTTCAATTAGGCACTGAGAGTTCCAATTAGAAGTGAAAAATGTGGTGACATTGAAAAGAATCTTCAACTGAAATTTTTTTCAGCATTTGATAGCTTTTATCAGGATGAAGTGACTCATAAGAAAACCGAAGGAGGCCTTCATGGGCAGAACTTGAGTGTATGTGTGGGCGTGTGCGTGCGTGCGTGCATGCGTGTGTGTGAAAGAGAACACACAGGATTAGGTTTTGGGCTCAGTGTAGCCCAGCAGTGATTTCACTGGAAGGAGACATTTCATGGAGGGAAATGAAACACAGCTAGTTGATCAATAAACGCATCATTTTTCAAACTAACTTGCCCCATCCCTGGTTGAGAATCATGACAGGGTAGAGCTCTACTCCTGGTAGGGTTTCGTGTATCTTTCTGTAGAGTGGGCGCCGTCAGTGCACATCGCTCAGCCCAGTGATCTACGCCTGCAGCTGCAGTTCTTTGTGGTGCTGAAATTCTCAGTATTACCCTGCTGCTACCCGGTGACTCCCAGTAAGCTCAGGACCACATCCTGTTGCCTTTGTATCCTTAGTACCTGTCCAGCCTGGTACTTGACACATGGCAGGCCGTCAGTAAATGCATGAGTATTTAATAAGCTATTCAGTTATGTTCAGTATACTCTCCTTGGTACCACAGGAAAATGGATAAATGTGTTCTTCAAAGATAACCAGCAAAAAGATTTAAAAGAGCAAGGGTTTTCCCAGTTTAGCAAACAGTTCAATTCACCAGGACATCATGTTCCTCCAGCATTTCAGTTAATTAGGGCTTGACAGTTCTGTGATATGTAGCTGACAAGTTCAGTCATTGTACCTGTTGACCTATTTAAAAGCCACTGTGGCGTCAGTCTGCTCCAGGCATGCCTGTACCAAAGTAGCATGCCTCCTCTGTCCCAGGAGTCCGTGATCTCTGCAGAAAGCTTTACAACACATCAGTTCTGTCTTGATCCTTTACAGGGGTTTTCTCCTTCCTCTCTGCACACGGCCTCCCCAGAAGTTTCAGAATACTTTCACTGCTGTTACTTTTCATTTAATTTCTGCCAGTGCTTTGAAGGACTTGTGTGGGACATGTAAACATATTCAGTAACTAGCAGAAATATCAGATTTCTTTGGACTAAAACGTCCAACCAGAGAAGGTGCCACAGCAGGAAGGAGAGTAGAAGGGCTACAAGGGACTCAGAATGTCCACATTTAGAGCTGAACGCGTCTCAGCTAGAAGGGAGCTGAGCCAGGCCCCCAGCAGAGCAGTGCCAGACCGGAGGTCCCCAGGTCCACATTCCTGTGTCTGCATTTCACCCCCTTTGATTCTTGCCTTTGAAATATGTGTTACGGTTTCATTTCCACTTGACTGTAAACCTGCCCACCTTCTGATGTGAAACCAGCTCCAAAATCCACAGCTTTTTGGGGAAAGTAGGATGAAGATATGGTAAAGTGTTAGATTCATGCCTTGGCATTTATAAGTTATTCTTATTACCCAAGCATTAGAGCGAGGATTCAAGTTCAGGTCTTTGAACCATGACACTACACCAGGTACAGTGTTGTGATCCGAGTGTTAGAGCAGTGGGCTTCGGTCCACCCAGAATGAGTTTCACTCCATCCCTCTGTGTTTACCTGTCTTGATGCTGGATATCCTTCTGCACAAAAATGTAGTGCCCCCTGCTCCAGGGAAACTTCTTAGTAGAATTTTTACCTCCTCTGAACTCATATAACCCATTGTTCATGTGTCTTTCAGCACTCAGCCCTATTCCATATGTTGTTAATTAGACATGTACCTCTTAGCCTCCCTTACCAAGTTCCTTTGTAGGAGAGACCAGGCCTTAGATATTTGTCCCCCACAGCATGGTGCCTGCACATAGTAGGTGCTCAATAAATGTTTGAGTAAATCAAATCTGTGGCCTCCCAGGAGATCATTAGGCTGACAGTATAGGCATTAATCGTATTGCTTCCTTAAAGCATTTGGACAACCATGTAGAGAAAGCTACAGATGGTGTGGTCTCAGCTATAAGGTGTCTGTGTATTTACAGCAAAGTGACATCATGTTCCTTTCCACCCAGATGGAATTTGTGAAGATGTTAGCAGGACAGGTTATAGAGTTGCTAATGGTTTATTTTCTCCAGCCATAAAGTGTAATATATGAGCTTTGGGTGGGCAGGATCTGCCTCTGACGGTTTTACATCTTTTATCACAGAACCAGAGACGTAGCAGGTGTTCAGTAAACACGTGAAGGATGGATGTATAGCAGATGGGTGGGTGGATGGCTGGATGGGGGGATGGGCAGATGGTTGGATTTGGTTTGAATTGATTTCAGTAGCTGTAGACATCACAGATGTATTGTATTTAGTTTATTGGACACCCTTCCCTCCAGTCTCTGCAAAAGAAATCTGAAATGAGACAGCAGCAGTCCATTAAAATTAAGATAATTGCTAGAAAAGCCACTCCTCAAGTATGCAAGTGACCTTGGTGGGCCCTTCCTTGGAAACAAGTACCCACAGAAGTTAGCAGCCAGGGGCATGGAGAGGGGCAGGAAGAACCGGAAAACGACTGCTGCTCTCTTAGCCCGTGGCAGCCATACTGTGGTGAGAATACTTTCTCTGTGTGTGTGTGTTTCTGATGACCCTCTGCTTATACTCCTAGGCCCGAGTAATGGCGACTATTGGAGTGACCAGGGGACTTGGGGACCATGACCTGAAGGTGCATGACTCCAACATCTACATAAAACCATTCCTGTCTTCAGCTCCAGAGGTACCGCATGAGGTTTTTGTTTCTCTTTGGTACAAGAACATGTTTTCTACATTATTCTTCCCATGACTCACACCCCAGATCCAGACAGTAGCCAACTTGTGTCACATGTACTTCTGCAGTGTCTCTCATGTGTGTTTCTTTTCCCCACTCCATTCTCACTTGGACTGTGCTGGTTCTTCCCTCATGGCCTCCCACCCAGATGGCTGCACAGCCCACAGCCCCTTGCCTTCTCAATACAGCCCACATATTGCCATCAGGCCAATTTTCCTGAACAACTACTCTGACACCTATTTGTTCAGAAACCTTCAACAACACCCCAAGGCTCAGAGACTAAAGCACAGACTTCTTCACTTGGCATTCAAGGCTTGTTATAATTTGGTCTAACTTAAAAAAAAAAAATCTGATCTTTGTTCCCCTACACCAGCCAGAATGAACTTGCTTTTTTTTTTTTTTGCGGTATGCGGGCCTCTCACCACTGTAGCCTCTCCCGTTGCAGAGCACAGGCTCCGGGCGCGCAGGCTCAGCGGCCACGGCCCACGGGCCCACGGGCCCAGCCGCTCTGCGGCATGTGGGATCTTCCCAGACCGGGGCACGAACCCGCGTCCCCTGCATCGGCAGGCGGACTCTCAACCACTGCGCCACCAGGGAAGCCCCCCTCTTAGATTTTTAATTGCCTAGAAAGCTGATGTCATTCAGTTGATGTCTAGAGAAGTTAACTGAAAAACAAGTTGTCATATATTTGGTTTAAAAAATCATTTTTCTTATAATACAGGAAACAGTGTCAAGTTCTATTTCAAGGTATATCATTTACAAAAGATATTACTTCTAAGTGATAGAACACTTAGGGGTGTACTTTCTCACATATCACGGAGGCTGGAATTTGGTGGCTGTTCATGTTGGTGCAGCACCTCCAATGTGCCAGGGGTAACACCTCTGCATCTTTTTTTCCTTCGTAGTTGCAAGATGGTGACAGAAGCCCCAAGCGTAACATTTTCATGCAAGGCAGGAAGGAGGGGACAGGCTATCTGTCCCAGTAGACATTCACTTGCATCTCATTGGCCAAAACTGTGTCACATGACCGCCCCTAGCTGCAAAGGAGGTTGGGAGAGTGAGAGAAATGTTTGCAATTTGTACAGTAGAGGAGAGCCAGGGAGGGGTGAGTGAGGAACCAGCGGTATTTGCATGCCGTGTAATTAACTGTTGAAACTGTGCCTCACACTGGAAATCCCTGAATGTTTAGACATAGCTCCATCTGCATGTTCTTCCCAAGGGTGGGTGCTGTGTTTGTAGTGAAGGCTCTCTTTGTTGGAGGAAACAGAAACCCACTCATGCCGACTCAAAAAAAGGAGGTGTTTATTTTAATAATGTCGGAAGAGATATGTATGGGGTCCACAAGAAGAACCCTTGAAGAGCCAGGCTTTATGGGAGCGAAGGTGGCTCTGGAATCCAGGCAGCCCTGAGACCAGCCATGCTCCATATGTCTCTGCCACCAGACAGCCAGGTTCTGACTCCCCCAATTGCACGTTCCCAGAGAGGAATCTCATTGGCTCAACTCACCTTTTCTCCGAGGTCACAAGTGACTTCCCAGCCTGTAGACTGTCCACTCCAGAGCCAGCGATGGGTACCATCGGCCACCCAGGCCTACCCCTTTGGCAGGGCTGTGAGCAGGGCTAGTTCCTTTAGAGTCCTTTATTGCTGAGGCTGACATCGAAAATAGATCTAGCCACAGGAGGTTAAGAGGGAAATCTCTAGTAAATAGCAGGCGTGGAAGATACGCACATTTCCTGATATCACCCAGGATGTCAAGTGAGGTCAGCTTGGTGGAAATAATAATTACCATCTGCAGATGTCTCTCTTTTCGCCTTCATAGCAATTCTGCATGGTAAGAACCCTTATGATATAAAATGTCCAAGGGTCCCTGGAAGTTGGTGGATCCCTGCTCCCTCTATTCTGGCCAACAGAAGGATCCCTGAATTACTGCTGAAACTCCTCCTGGCCAGAGAAAACCAATAACTATTGGGTTGGCCAAAAAGTCCGTTCAGATTTTTCCGTAACATCGTATGGAAAACCCGAACAAACTTTTTGGCCAAGCCAATGCTAGACTCATGGACGTCTATATTTTCCCCCTTGGGAGGGAGGCATTTATCAGGCATATTAAATGGTACTGTCACCTTTCCAAAAAACACAGGTAAAGTGTGACTATATGGGGGGTGAGGGCTTCTCAGGAAACACTAATAACCATTTTGCTCCTTAAAGGAGAGTGAAAACCTTCTCACCCTCCCCACCCCTCTACACACACACACACACACACACACACACACACTTTCTCTATAAAGTGAGAAGTTCGGTTTGGTTTTCAGAAGAATGGTCTCTATGCAGTTGGGTTATAGATCTTCCAATCACTGTGCTCCCGTGGATCCCAAGAAGAGACTGTAGGTTTAAGACTTGGGCCAGTATGGGAGAGTCCCCGAGGACTGATGAAAAATCCCAGTTGGTTGATCAGAAACTTCATGTCACCTGTCTGGAAGTCTAGGCCGGACGATATACTTTTTTTTTTTTTTTTTTTTTTTTTTACGTGCAGCATCTCATGTAATTCTCACAACAATTCTGTGAGGTGTGTATGGTTTTTATACCCATTTTACAGACCAGGAAATTGAGATCCAAGGAAGTACGTTAACTCCCCCATGGTTGTACAGTTATTAACTAACAAGATGATCCTTGTACTCAGGTTTGTCCAATTCGATCAGGCTCTGTAGGAGAGGGAAGCTGAGTTCAAGGAAATCTTCTTGGATAGTGTTGAAGGGACCCACTGAGAACTGTTTCAAGGGGCTCTGAAGAGAGTACCTCTATCCTGGGACCTCAGTGGCCAGAGTTCCTCAGAGAAATATGGCCGGCCTCAGACTGCAGTTGTGGAAAATGATGGTGTGATAGAAAAAGTAATTGGGAAAGACAGGACTGGCCTTCTGTGTGTGCCACCCTAGGCCAGACAGAATTGTGCAAAATGAGGTTGTGCACCTATAATTTAGCTTAATGGGTATGTAGTGTAAATCTCAAGATTCTTTTGCACGAGATTAAAATCGTTGTACATTTTAAACGTTTCCAGATGGGGAGGCCTTAGCCAGAGCCAGGAAAGGGGGAGGAAGGTCCGAGGGAAGAGAGGGGAGCAGCTTGAATCAGCTCCGATGCAGGAGTGCAGAAGAAAAGATGGGTACGGGGGAACCCCACATCCCCGGTCTTGGGGCAGAAACTCCTTTTCCCTGGGTGGCAGTAATAAAGTCAGACCCTGGAGAAACGGCTAGGGGGCTTCTGTTGGGAGCCCACCAAGCCGGGTACATTTATTTAAACCATCTAATAAGGAATAACTGGCTCCCTTGCTGCCTTTATTCCCCCACCTGCACCCCAAGCCTACCCTGGCTTTCTAACCATGACTTCCTAAGAACATTCCCCTGCTACGCTTCATCTTTGCCAAGCATGGGTCTTTATTTCACATTTGGGTTCTAAATTTCAAACTCAGCTCAGGCTGGTAGTTTTAACAGTCGCAAGGAAGTGGGGTATGTTTGTGTGTGTGGGGTGGAATGTGATTTAGTTCTAAGAAAAAAGGCTCAAACATCTTCTTGGAAATCAGCATTGTTCCCATTCATCATTGTAGCTCCTAATTTGACTTGATGAGTTAAATAAAAATAAATCAAAACCATGTGGATCAAATTTACGTTAAAAAATGCACAGGGGTTTAAAAATTAGAGAAGCGTTTCTAGCCAAACACATTTTTGGTTTCGCTGAACACAAGGCACTGGAAAAATCTTGAGTTTGCCAAACCCAAAGAGCGGCCGCCAGGTTTGCTGAGCCTCCCACATATCTCCCCAGGTCGAAGGTAGGGAATCTCTGGCCGAGAACTGAATTCCACAGGAGGCCCCCATCAACCCAGCACGGGTCTGTCTGCTGAGCGTAGGAAGCGTTTTGACCCTCCCCTGGTCCACGGCATCATTCCCCCGTGTAACTGGAGCCTGTCCTCCATAAGGGAAACACCCCCATCGGGTCTCCCATCCTCTCGCTCAGTGAAGCTCATCACTGTTCAACCTTTGTGTATCACCCTAGAGTTCAAGTGGAGAAGGAGAGGATTTGTGAATTCAGAGTCACTCTGCACCTTCTTTTCCAGCAGTTCTCCACCCCGTCCAGCACACACCTCATGACCTATTCCTCAGACAGCGCGGCCCAGGCCTGCAGCCTAAACCTACAGATGTTCTCTACTCCGCACCCATTTCTGGCCTGTGACAGGCCCTCCCTAGAGCTAGGATTCCTCTTAATGTCTTTCTCGCTTTCTGGCCTCTACTCCAAGACTGTGCTTCACTTTAGGCCCCTTTCGGGCTCTTGGAAGAATGAGGTCTTTTTCTGTCTGGGGGCCGGTGTGCAAAGCCAACCCCATCAACTCAGCAGTCCCCCACCTCCCGCCCCCGCCACACTGAACCACAAGGGAGCTTGATTTTCTCTTGGCTTCATTTTTCCTCTCCGTAGTGTTCAGGATTCCTGTCAGCTGTTTTCTGTGACTCCAGCTCACTCATTTAGGTCATTCTTGGTTCTCTTCATCTAGATTTCATTTTTTTCTTTCATCTGAAACAGGCTTCTCTAAAAGAAGGAAGACCTTAGGCTCCAGTATCTGAACTCCCTCCCTAGCACCGGCATTACCTGTGACCTCTACAAGTTCTTTCAGCCTGCTTTCCCCTTGCTGCAGGTGGGGTGGAAATGCCTAGACTGACGAGGTGCTGGGAAAAACAAATGAGAACATCTATGGAATTGCATGGCACAGGGTCTGGTACATGGTCAGAGATGGTCAGTAAACATTAGTCTTCCTTATGCACTGGCTTCTGGAAGCCTTTGCACTTACAGGGGATTCCCAGTATTCACTTTCAGGTGAAGAGAAGAATGACTATTTTGTTTGAGACTCCCCTGTTGTCTCCCATGAAAACATGAACAATATTTAAGATCTCACGTTGACTTCTGAA